ATAGTCAGCAACAAGTATTGTTATTAATTTGGATACGTTCTGAAAGCGCTTAACTACTGCATATTTCAGTCATTGTGAAACATATTTCGTAATTTGCATATTGAATTTGCATGCGTACGAACCGAATGTGATTACGTGTGCTTGCTTATGTTGCCATGTTTGCTTGCTTGCCTTGCTATTAGGAGATTTCATCATAGGCAAAAATCTTTGAGAAAGATTCATTTTAGTTGTTTTGTATGCTCCGAAGTGGTTTATTAAATGAGTTAGGAGGTGACACTTCTGGTTGCGGCAGTAGTTCTGGTGCAGCAGCTATGGAGCATTCGATGGCTACTGGACAAGATGACCATGAAGAGTCAGCAGTTAGAGGAAACGTGATAGAATTGAATACGAAAGGTTTGTTGTTTCGATTGATGTTTCTTTTTGATTATGAATTGCACACAAACTCTCTGTGTGTGTCGTATCGTATGTATGCAAATGCTCAAGGAAATCGCTCGTTGACACAACTTCTTTATAAAGATATTCAAGCAATCAGTTATAAATACACCATTTGAACAAAGAAATTTCTGAAAATGTTGCTTGAAATGAGACTGTGAAGCCGTCCGATAGGCTGAGTTCACTGTGTTTAAACTCAAGAGGCTGGGGAAGTGAAATGAAAGCAAACACTTGATTGATTATTTGAACACGGAAATGAATGAACTAGCAGTTGATAGGTGAACTGATTAATTGATAAAAGAAAGGTGCAATTGTGACGAAATCTGCTCATCGTGATTTGTGATAATTTCGGTGTGTTTGAGGTGATCAAATGAACGGTATCATCAAAAGGAGCACAAGTAAAATTATGATGCAATCCCGAAGAACATGTCGTCTGAAAGTGGTGATTTGTACGGTTGATGAAAGAAGCGTAGAGAAGCTGAAGTCAGTATTTCCGGTTGGTTATGTTCAAGTTACCTTTCTATTGCAAGTGTTCTCATTGGTTCGGTCATAACTTATGAATAACATGCAGCAGATACAATTGAATACAATTGAAAAATTGAGAATTTCGAGTCGCGTACAGTGTTTGGGAATTGTTTTGATAGAGAATTTGAGCTTCGTGTTCGGAATGTAGGAGTAAGTTAAGACTTGAAAAGTTTATTGAATCTAGAGCAGTTTGATTGATTTTCTCTTATTCTGTTGCTTTTTTTGTACTATTCGTGGAATAGTTGATGAAATGAGGATGATTTGGATTTGCATATTCAGTAGTGAACATATGGATATATGCATTGTTTGAAATAAATAAAAGTCACTGAAGTAAAGAATTGATAAGATATGGAATTTCAGTTGATAAATAGGGCAATGAAAGGTACAGTAGTGATTGGTGATACAATAATACCGCATCGAATGGGTGATCATGATTATGATGAGCCATGGACTGAACTTGATATTGAGGTGAATTGAAATTATTACGATTTGAAAGGGCAGAATCGCTTTGTATGAACGTTTTGATAATTCGATTGCATTTGATTGCAATAAGTAAAGGTGATTAATGCCGCAATTAAGGTGTCATCAGCATCTGAATGGGATAGCAAGCAATGTTTGGCTATTGTCCGATGGTTTCAACATTATTGCAAAAAGATTGGATTCAGCAATGAACTCAGCCCTCTGTTGCAATTATTCGGCAGAAATATTTTATTTGAAGATTGCGTGTGAGTGGAATTTCTTTTTTGGAAATGCTGTTTGTTTCTGTTATCTTGAGGAATCCGCGCAAAAACAGTTAGTGATAATGACGGATAAAGCAGTTCGTATATAATAATCAACGTGCAGTCATTTCTTATACAAGTACAATTATACAATTGTATAACGTATGTTTTATAGATCTCATCTTATATGTTGTGTGGCCGATTAAAACGACTCCTCAAATGTGAATAATTTCAGATCGGCTCATTTGGGCGTCACCTTGAATGCGATTCATTTTGGAAATTTGATTTCGAGTGGAGTGTATTTAGCGCATTTTACGCGACATTCAGCAGTTGGTTCGGATGATGAGCAGAAGAAAAGTTTGGAGGTTTTTCGACAGTTGAAAGGCGATCACAT